AAATTCACTGAGATAACACTGTGTATAGACCAACGATATCCGCCTATATTACAAACCTAACCCCAGGGAAGAAATTCACTATTATGATTTTACCAGCCTGTACCCTTTCGTAAGCAAAACCCAAGAATACCCTATCGGACACCCCAATATACTATGACAAATTTGGACCCCTTGCAAATTATTTTGGAATTGCAAAAGTTAAAATGTACCCCCCACGAGGCTTCTTTTCCCCATTGTTACCTGTCAGAGTGGGTAACAAGCTTATGTTCCCGCTATGACAAACCTGTGCTGAAACCGAGCAGCGGGAGACGTGCATCCATACTGACGAGAAGAGGGCCATCCTGGGGACTTGGTGCACGGTGGAATTGAATGCGGCCATAGCGAAGGGGTACACAGTGGCTAAAATATATGAAATCTGGCATTTTAATGAAAAATCTGATGAACTGTTTTCAGAGTACATAAAATTACACCTCCACCAGAAACAAGAGGCTTCAGGGTATCCCAGCTGGTGCACAGACAAAGAAAAACAAAATCAGTACATTAACGATTTCTACCAGAAAGAAGGCGTGCATTTACGCCAACACGAGATCAGGTTTAACCCCGGTAAACGCCAAATCGCTAAACTGTTTTTAAATTCTCTGTGGGGTAAATTCGGCCAAAGAACAAACCTACCCAATAGCAGCATGGTGAGAGACCTTGACGAACTCTTTCAGTACCTGTTTTCCCCCCCACTACGAGGTTTCATCCTGTGAGTTTATCGACGATGAAACAGTGTGCGTGTCTTGGAAGCATGCAAAAGACTAGTACTCAGTCTCTGGACATACCAATGTTTTCATAGCCTGTTTCACCACTGGTTACGCCCGCTTAGAACTATACAACCTGCTAGACAGGTTGCAAGAGCGGTGCCTGTACCACGACACTGACTCGGTGAGATCTGTGAAAAGGGAGGGTGACTGGAATCCCCTCTGGGGGATTATTTAGGGGACCTCACGAGCAAGATCCCGCCAGATCAACACATCACCCAGTTTGTGTTGGCAGGCCCGAAAACATACGGGTATAAGCTGTAGAGAGGAAAGGCCTGTATGAAAGTCAAAGGTATTACCCTAAACGTAGCAAACTGTGAAAAGATCAACTTCGACAGTCTGAAAGATCTAGTCCTGGACTATTGCACAGGCCTGTGAGAAAACACCTCAAAAAAGATAGAGGTGCAGCAGCCCTCTATCGTAAGAAACAAAAATCAATGGCAAATAGAGACAAAAACCCTTAATAAAAGACAGAAAGTCGTTTACAAAAAGAGGGTCCTAGGAGAAGGGTTTAAAACCTTGCCCTACGGCTTTTAAAATAGATATGAGGTGGAAACACCTCTTTTCTGCAATTCTCGTGGGGCCTAGCAACTGTGGGAAAAGTTACTTTATAAAAAATGTGTTGGATAATGCCAAACAAACATTGTCTGTTATGCCTGAGAATATTGGATAACATGGCTATCAAAATCATTGCAAGATACGCATGTCTGGGCTTGTTGAAACATGTTTTGAGCAAGGCTAGGCATGCCCAAGAATTTAAATTTAGTTTTTACAAAATTCATCACCATCCGGTCGTTTTGCACTAAAGTCATTAGAACAGAATTTTAAAATCCAGTCAAAAGATAAACCCTTGCTACGATGATGTAAGAAAAAACACGCAGTGATAGCCGCAGGCGACAGAGCAGGGGTCTTGTAATTGTCTATTGTGAAACACAATGTCTGTGGCATTTTTGTTTAAAAATTTCATAATGCTTTTAGGAAACAACACGCTGTTTGGGGGGTGCCCGTATGAGTCAAAAAACTCTCCACGGTTACGCTCTGCCAGATACAAGGCGAGCCAGTGTTCACCAAGTTGGTTGTGTGGATGCGTGTTGACCACCAAAGCTAGGGGTCTCTGAGATAGCTTGCTGCCAGGGAGCCAATCACAAGGGAACACATCTAAGAAATTCTTTTTTGTGTAATGGGCCATTGATAAGACATGTGAGAGCTGCACGGTGTCCATGTTCACATATAGTCAAACAGAACGTTTCTCCTCTGATTTATCTCTATGACGTTGTCAAAAACCCCATACACGATCATATTGAGGGTGACGGTTAAAGCCTTCCCAAAACGTATTTCTGTTCTCAGGTTCCCGGTTTTAATCAGGGAATAGTGATCGGGGCATTGCTGGTCGGGAGATGGGTCAAAGGCAAACAAGGTGTAACCCTGTGCAAACGCCTCACGCTCGATTAACAGAGAACGATCTTTCATGTGTTTACCAGCTGTCTGTACCACATTCATGTATTCTCTCACGCAGCGTCCTACCTCGAAGTCTGGTTGCAGAGGCTTGGTTGGTATCTGTTCACCATCTACATACAAGGCCAAAAAATTAATATCATAATGTTGAAAATGAAAGGGATTTTCTGTGTAACTTCTGCTAAAGGCATCATTATCCACAAACCCCAGGATAAGCATTTTGGGTAACTGTCCCAAAAACAGGTTCTCTGGGTTACTGACCCTGCTGCTCGCGGGGATGCTAAACACTTTCATTCTCACACGGTCCATGGGATATTTAGCATTAGCGGTAAGCAGGGCCTCCGTGTGCCCCAGATGAACACTCGGGGCCACCCGTACTGTCTTCACAAAAAGGGATGCTGACACAATGCCATTAAACAGAAGGCGTCTTTACTGCATGTCAGTTTAATTTTCACATCCACTCCGTTCAATAAAAGTTTTTCTTGAAAAAACAGGTCGCTGTGTAGATGATCCAGCAGCTCTACCGTCCTGCTCTGGGCAGTCAGCTTTGCACGCCTCACAAACCCTAGATTCCCGCCATCCAACTCTGTTTCTTCGTCTTGTCTGGCAGTGTCTTTGTAAAACAGGCCAGTGGAAAATTGCATGGTAAAGGTGTCGTCGCTGTAATTGAGCGCCGATTCTATAAAGGCCCTGTAAGGGTAACAGTTGTTGCTTTGGCTTACAAGGCAGTCTCCCAGCGTGACATCCAACTGACTGAAAACAGAGGCCACGGGGTAATTCACCAGGCCCACTTCGGCGTCCATGGCGAGTTCAGTTCTGTCTCCTTTTACAATCTTGCAACATAGATACAGCAGCGTGTTGTTTAAATCCATATAATCGATGCCATTCCCTGCTATAAAAACATCAATGGGGGCAGACTCCGTAACAGCCGATAGAGGTGGCACCTCAATGTAGATGCGTTTCTCAATGCTGGTCTGGGTAGGGGCTATTTGAAACAAGTCTAGTTCGGATTTGGTGCACTCTTCAGACCCGCAGTGAACAAAAGCCATGTTGATTAAAATATCTCTCTTTTACCAGGCGGAGAGCGTCTTCTCTTTCGCCCAGGCTTCCTCTTGGACTTTCGCTTATGGCTGGCCCTGCGCATCAAAGCCCTTCTTTTAAAGGGTATTGGAGGATCAGTGCGTTGCAGGTATGATACATTTCTCTTTCTCTTCCTCCTTTTAATGTACATCAGCCCCGATCCTTCGTGTGAAGCTGTATTCGAGTCGGTTTGTGTAAAGTGTAAGCATCCTGGTCTGAAAGCCAAGCTGTTACCTGTCTTCTAGTTAAAGTTTTACTATGCTTTTTGGCCACTTGAAAAAGAGGATTCATCGCGCCAAAGCTCCCAACTTCCCTGGGGGTATAATATATTTTCTTTAACAGAGTCATCTGTGGAGACATGACTGTTCCCGGTACAGTCTTTTACTAACACAAGTATGGAGGGACACACATTCATATGGACACATTTAAATAAGTTTTATTCATTGCCTGGTTTAACACAACCTTTTACAGCCGCCTGTAAAAATGGATGCCATGACCCCTACAATGAGGGAGTCTGATCTGGTTCATTCTTCTATTTTGTCCTTTTCTGGATTTTCCTCTTGAGATCTGTGTCTCAGACAGGAGCAAAAACAGCTGATGCATGATATATTTACTCCCACAGGGCTACCAATGTGTAAGTTCTCAAAGGCCTCTAGAAAGACATCGTCGATCTGTTGAGAGATTTTCAGACAAAAAACAGTGTAAGCACCCCACTGCTTGTTTTTAGATTTATGCAATGCCAGGTCGATTCCTAACCCCATTACACCCCCATGATCAACCGTCGCTTCTTAATCATTCATTTACCTGAGCGACGTCTTTCCCGATCACCTTGTCCGCTGGTGACTCCCCCAAGCCATGATCCTCTTCCAACTTTAGGGGGGTGGACAATGAGAGGCCGTCACACTCATTGGTTTGGGTTTCGGGGTCGGGTTCCAAGGTATCTATCAACGGTGGAGTCAAAGGGCCCTCCTTGGAACTGTCACTGCTGTAGCACTTTCTCCATACAAGTCCAAAGGTCCTCGGGGCTAAAACAAAGTCTGAAGTTCTCACGGGGGTGGTAGAGGAGTCCATGTTTCCTCTCAGCCTTTCCACAATTTCTAAAACATGTCTTCTTGGTAAGAGATTGCCTCCTCTGCCCGGTACTGGGACTTATGGGGTGATGGTTCTGCACTCTGATTGGCAGAGGGCGTTGGGAGGAGTCCTTAGAGGGGTCACATGACCCTCTTCTGGGCGGTTCACCCCATCCAAGAACCTGGCCTATTTTGGCCAAATCTCCTCTTGGGGCGGTCCTCTGCAGCCAAAACCCATCGCAATTGGTAAAGAGTGGTGGGAGGAGTTCTTAGAGGGGTCACACAAAACACTTCTGGATGGGTCACCCCACCCCAGAATTCCCCCCAGTTGGTCAAATCTCTTGGGGTGGTCCCCAGTGGCTGAAACCCCTCCTGATTGGTAGAGGGCAGTGGGAGGAGTTCTTAGAGGGGCCACATGACACATCTTGCTTCTGGTTATGTGTCTGCCTTGACCCCGGAAGTAATACCCCATGGGTGTGGGACTTCTGGTGACCGGTGGGCAAGGGGTGGGGTTAACGTTTGATTGACAGTAGGGCCCTTATAGTACTGGAGCGCCTTCTTCTGTTTGTCTTCGTTCCGCTTCATTCCCCAATCACTTGGCCAGACAGATGTCACTTATGATCTGAGTTGTCACCAGCTGGACAGTGGGACTTGGGTCTTTCTGTAGGACCTGGAGAGCTGAAATTACAGAGGACAATACGTTAGTGAACAGACTGTCAAATCACAGCTAAGTGTGATCACAGAACCTTGAACTACCTGAGCAGAATGATCACATGGAAAAATGTGAGACTGGGCTCAGTCCTTCTGTTGGGATGGAAAATACATGAGAGATGAATATGCCTCACTTTTCATATAGTCACCTGTGCCTGAAATAGCTGGAGACTTATTACCTCTGAATACCATACTACAGCAGCTCTCCAATACAAACAAAGCTTTAGGTTCCTCTACTGGGTCCCTTCCATGCTCTCAACTAGGGGGAGACCCTGACTCTACCAGAAAGTCATCCACTCTGCTGTAAATGGAAGAAGGCCCATTGTTTCAATAGCTTCCACTTTTAAGTTTATTTTCCATCTCTATTCAGGAGACACTGCCTGAGCTCAAATAAACCTGGAATTTAACAGAGGCCAGGTCCAAGCTGGTTTATGCATGATACAGGGCACCTACTGGAAGAAAAATTGCTGGTGGGAAATTTGAGGTAGCAGAAAGTGGCTACAACTTCTTCTCACCTGGGGAGTCCACAGAGAGCCAATAAAGCCCAAAGAGTGGATAGCACTGGCTGTGGAGGGGGCATTGCCAGGACAACCAGGAGATGTACTGTCTCGTATCACACCTTCTGCAGCTTCCTCCTTCAGGGAAAATTAAAGCGGACTTTCTACTGGGCAAGAGTGAATTTGTCCTTTGCTGTGTGGCTGATGCACTTTGCACCAGTGGTAACGGTTACTGCTGCTTGTCAGCTAAATTCCTTTAGAACTCACTAATGAACAGGACTTCAGCTGTATTTATTACTTACACATCAGCAGATGTTCCAGGTCCAGCCATTTCATACGCTGCCTGTCTGTGTGTTCCAGGATGATGCCTAAATACACAATGTAAAATAAATAACAACAATAATAATAAAACCTTCCCTTGTTGAGTGCAAAGTGATATTAGCAGCCCCTAGACACGTCTTTGGCATCTCCTACTGTGGGCCTAAGGGTGAGCTGTGGACAAGAGGATGCTAGAGCAGTTTAGAGTCCACACTGAAGAGAATGAGACAGACATTTTTTAAAAAGAATGTTTCCATAAAACCCATTTGCTTGAAACAGTCTGTGTTCCTCTTGCCACTGCTGTCAGTTATTGGAGATATACTAAGATAGTGTCTTGGTCTAGTGGTCTGTGCAAAGGACTGGGGCCAGGAATAAGTGAGTTCTAAGCAGGGATCTCACAAGGTGACTGATAGGTGAGACGTAGGCCACAATGCCTGCCTGTCTCACATGGGTGTGCTAGGGTGAAGAGGGTACAGGGCCAAAGAGGAGGAACCTAATGCTTCCTTGACAAGGTGGTGTGGCAGCAGGTGCTATGGGGAGGTGGGCTGCACGCAGGACTAGTGCGGGTACGTCTCATCAAGCTGGGAATTATACACCCAGCTCAAAGTGTAACCATGCCCTACGTGACAATGTCCCTGCCTCTACTACTAAATGACTGCACCGTGCTTTCCCTGCAATGATCCCGAAGCACTTGATAGCAACTAATCCACCACACTGGGGAGGTAGGGATATTAACATCTCCATCTATGGATGGGAAGCTAAGGCACAGAGAGATTAATGGCAGCTCAGCGCTGCACAGTGGGATTGTTTCTGTCTCCCTCAATGGAAATACCAAAAGGGACACTGGGCATCATTTCTCACCAGCTAAGTTGGCTGCAACTGCCCGGATCTCTTCCCAGCTGCTATAGAAGTACGTGATGGTGATTTGGTACAATTTCTCCAGCAGCTCTGCATTCTCTTTGGCCTAGAGGGAATCAGGGACGCATGAGCTCTCTCTGGCTAGAAGTGCCCTTTGACTGCCAGCACATGCTTTTACGAACCACAGGTAAATAAGATAGAGAACAGGTGGCTGGGTAGAAGTGGGAATAATGGGAATCTGTGGCAGATTTACATTTCCCATCACCCTCAGTCATATATCCCACTCTTACAGTTATTTACATTATCCATCACACCCCCACCCCACACACACACCTCTACACCACCACTCCAGTCAATAATCTCAGACAGTTCAACAGCTCACTCACAAGGTATCTGCAAATGTCCACGTGGAGCTGTTCAGGCTTCAGCTTGGCTGTGCCACCAAGGTGCTCATTAATTGCACTTTGGAGTCTCTTCAGTCCCAAAAATGGGAAACAGAGTTGAAACGTAGCTCTGCATTCCTGAAAAAGAGTGTCACACCATTGAATTGTTCCCTACCGAGTGCTATGTTCATTCAAAGGGAACTCATCTGCGTGACTGCTCATCTGTTCCAGGATCAAAAAAAGGGATTCATCTGGATGTAATTGGCAGAAAACATGCAGGAATGACTAATAGACGGGAGGGCTTCAACTGAAACCTGGAGATAGCATCAATGTCTTTTGGGAACAGATATACCGATGAAAGCTGCTACACCAGGCATAGGTGTGGTCTCTCTGTTCTGGGGAGGCAGGGGCCTGGGGTGCAGAGACAGACAGGAACAGAGACCTGTCGGTGTCAGACCCGTGACCTCTCCTGGATTCTGGTGAGGCAGCCATGGACCAACCTGCCTGGAACTGACTCAGCAGGAGGGCAATGAACTGAGGGGAGAATTTGGGCCTCCACAGCAGGCAGGAATAGCAGAGCTCCCCTGGCATTGGGAGGAAGATTCCTTTTGCTTAGTAAATAAGTCACTGTCGGTCTTACCATTGAAATCTCAGGGTTTGGGTCTTGCAGGTGCAGCAGAAGTGTGACCCAGCTCTTTTTAACCTGGTCGGCGAAATAGGTCTTCCATTTTCTCTTTGTCAGCCGGGCCAGGATGCCAAATAGGACAAAGGCCATTGAGCGAAGAGCATCATCCTCCTACAGCCAAGAAAGCCCCGCAAGTTAGTAACTAAGAGACAATCACATCATGCACTTTGCACAGCCATCTCTTCTACTCTAAAGTAGAGTGATTCCAACTACAGCTAGTCGGAAAAACGGTAATTAACCAATTTTTTGTTCAAATTTGCTGATTCATCAAAATATTTTAGAGACAGTTCAGTTTTGATGAAATTCCTCCGGAAGCCAGGTAGGGGTCCTTAGAAACTTGCCTGGTGTCTTTCCAGTGCACCCATCCAGCTCTGTAGCAGCCAATCTAGCAGGCTGATTGGGATCGTGGGCTTCCAGGCCCCCAGCTTCTGGGACCCTGGGAGTCCTGGCTCTCAAATTTGCAACTCCCTGGCACCTCTAGCTCACAGAGTTTCCTGGGTTCCCAGCACCGGGATAGTCTGAGAGCAGACTGTCCTGGGCCAACGCTTCCAATAGAGCTAGGTTGAGAATAGTAATTCTGTTTCACAAAGAGTTTTGAACTTTGGGGAGAAGGGTTCCCACAAATAGGAACAAAACCCAAATTTGAAATCTCTAAATTCTGTGCAAAACAGAATGATCATTCCAACCCTCTCACATAAAAATGGTATAGAACAGGCCCAACACTCTCTATTGTACTCTGTAACCCCCATTTCATGGTTATCTAGCTACCTAATCTAGTATTCAGACTTTCTTTGAGGTTCTCTGGCAATAAAGAAGAATAGAAGGGTGAGACTGTGGGAGCAGGGATGTCATCCCCATCCTCCTAATGTTCTCCTCCTCCGTAAAACACCTCTCTTCCCTGGGGCCTAAAATCTCTTCACTCCGACATGAGCAATGCCCAGGGAGTCCACATCACGCATTGTAAATGGAGTCTAATCAAGATCAGTTGAACTGGGGTTGGAGAGATCTGTTCACATACATCGTCAAAGTAAGTCCGGATCTGTTGGGTGAGGTCTTTGAAGTAGGAACCTATGTCCTTCTCTTTCAGCGCCTTCAGGACTTTGGCCAGTGCTTTCATGCTCTCGCCAATGACTTCCGAACTGAAAATGTCATGTAAGGCCCCGATCAGTATGTCCAGAAGAAACTTCTTGTACTTTTTCACCTGTACAAACATATGACATTAAAGAACACTTATCACTGATCACACTTCTAATAAGTTTTCTTTAGCAGTTATGAAGCTGTGGGAATTTCATCAACCCCGTCTCCCCCCCAGAGACCTATAGCTATATTTCAGACCAGGTGCTAGCTACAATGAGCCCAACTTGGTGCCATAATACACCTGTGTAATCCTATTATTAGATTCCTAGTTACTTAGATTCCAAGGCCAAAAGGGACCATTGTGATTATCTGGTCTGACCTCCTGCATAACATACAACTTCCCCGAAATAGTCTCTGTTTGAACTAGAGTGTATCTTTTAGAAAAACATCCAATCTTGATTTTAAAATTGCTAGTGACAGAGAATCCCCCACCACCTTTGGTAAATTGTTCCAATGGTTAATTAAAATTACCATTAAAAATGTATGCCTTATTTCCAGTCTGAATTAGCCTAGCTTCATTTTTCCCCATTGAATCTTGTTATACCTTTGTTTGCTAATGTGAAGAACCCATTATCAAAATTTATTCCCCATGTGAGTAGTTATAGACTGTCCTCAAGTCACTCCTTAACCTTCTCTTTGTAAAGCTAAATAGATTGAGCTCCTTGAGTCTATCACTAAAGGTATATTTTCCAATCCTTTGATAATTCTTGCGACTCTTCTCTGAATCCTCTCTAATTTATCAGCATCCTTCTTGAATTGTGGATACGTGATCTGGACACAGTATTCCAGCAGTGCTCACATGAGTGCCATATTCAGAGGCAAGATAACTTCTTTACTCTTCTTCAAGATTCCTCTGTTTATACCTCCAAGGATCATTTCAGCTCTTTTGGCCACAACTTCATATTGGGAGCTTATGTTCAACTGATTATCTGCCATGACTCAAGTTTTTTTCAGCATCATTGCTTCCTGGGATAGAGTCTCTCATCCTGTAAGTATGGCCTGCATTTTTTGTTCCCAGATGTATACATTTACATATGGTCATATTAAAGTGCCCATGGTTGACTTATGCCCAGCTTACCAAAGGATCCAGCTTGCTCTATATTTACTGCAAAGAGGTTACTAGGGTATATGAGAGAGCAGAATTTGGCCTAGTGCATTTTGTGCAGCCTCTGTAAACTCTGAACAACTCTCTCTCTTGGTTTCTCTAGTTATGCTGCATTCTATTCAGTAATCTCTCTTACCTTCTCAGGTGCCCCATAGACTAAATTTCCCAGGCCTCTCACAGCCATCTGGCGGACAATGCTGTTCCTATCGTGTGACCTTTCTTCCAAGATGCTCAGGACAGACTTAAGGAACTTCTTCTCCCTGAGCATGGGATCACTCATTAGCTGAAATAAAATCAACATGTCCATTAGCCCCAATATGATCATTAAGATTGGCAATATAATTTGAGCAGACATGGAATACACTAAAAACAACAAGGAGTCCTCCTACAGCCACAGTCTTGTGGATACAGACTAATATGGCTACCCCTCTGATACTTGGCACATAAGACACTGTAACTTTATTATTCCACACAAATGAGAAATGTCTTAAAACATGGAGCTTTCCTTTTGGGCACTATCATAGGGATCCACTCACCTCTTGAGAGCCTCTTAGTGGCTGGGTCTAGTACCACAGTCCTTTTCTCACCCCTGGCGCACCCTGCCAGCCGACCTCAGTGAGTCTTCTGTGTCTCAGGCCTCTGGCTGCGTCCCAAAGTCCAAATGAACCCCTTCTGGGGTAGTCAAGAACAATCCCATTGCCCTCACTAGGGTCTCCAGCCCCAACTCTGGGTCCTTGAAATTCTGCCCTTTGTTCAAGCTCTCCATAAGCATTGTCCCCTCCGTGGGGCTTATGCCACTGTAGATGGTAGGGGAACCAGGGCCTGCCCATAACTCTGGGTTCCAAACCATGGACCCTGGAAACAGTAGCTAGGCACTGCCTGATTTCAGTTCATTTTTGCTTCTTCCTACCGGCCACTTTTAGCTTCACCCTCACCTCCGGGTTAAAGTTCTTAGGGACCCTCTTCCTGCAAATCCAGCTTAAGCAAATGCTGCCAGAATCAAACTCTGGCTATCCCCTGAATTTCTGTGGCCAGAGAGCAGCACCCTTTCTTGCCCCTCCAGGTCCTGCCAGGAACTGACCTGCTAAGGCCCTGCAGCTCCTTTTAGCTGAGCCTGATGGGCTCTGATTGGCTGCTTTCATGAGTCCTTTCTAGTCAGACCCAGATTTGTGGCTGTTTTCCTGGGGCAGGGTGTAGTAGGACCACGGGGCCTCTTGTAAGGAGCCTCAAAGCCCAGGTACAGCCCATCACAGGCACAGATCGATTGTTTTTCTTAGAACCAGATGAGCCCCTAAGATAGTTGCTTAGCATAAGTGGGAAATATGATGCTGATGTTAGAGGAAGGTTGTGGAAAGGGCGGATGGTCCAGCTGTTATCACACTAGCCCAGGACTTAGGAGACCCAGGTTCAATTTCCTGCTCCCTCAAAGACCTCGGGCAAGTCACTTAGCCCTTCTGTGCATCAGCTCCCTGCCTGTAAAATAGGAGTCATTGTGCTTCCCTACCTCCCAGGAGTGTCGTGGGGATACAGACATTAAAGAGTTTTGAGGTACTCAGATACTACAGTAATGAGAACCTAAGATAGATGTGAATGTATTTGTATGTTGCTTGTTTTATAGTATTAGGACACTAGGTTCATTCAGAAGATCTGCTGAGCTAAACCAAAATCAGGAGCTGTTGGTTAGTATCAGCACTAGGACTTGGCAGAAGAGGTCCAGGAATTCAAACTCTGTCTGTATCTCTCTCAGCCAGCACCAGTGGTTGTGTAGCTAGCATAGGCAATGACAGCAATAAAAATATCAGAGAGAGAATGACTCAGAAAGATGTAATGAAATTCCTTGTGAGGTTTCCATATAAAGGAGGACCCATTCTACTATCTAAAATGACAATTACTCCTATGAACTGAACTGTCCAACTCCCGAAAGAAAGGCAAACATGAGACAACAGTCTAATGGTGAAACTGCTCTTCAGAACCCTCTGTCTTACCTGGGCAAGGAAAGCTGTGCTGGTGACTCGGAGGTTTTCTGTTGGGGAATTCACCCAGGGGAGGAGGCTCTGTAAGATCTCAGGTGTTATTAGTCCAGATCTTAGCAGAACACTGGAAGACAAAATAAACCGCTTATGGGGTAGATTGCACACTTCAAAAACTCAGCTGCTCTGAGCATACAGCACTGATATCTATGAATGGGAGCTGTGTGTTTCCACCCAGGGCACCCCCCACAAAGCTATAAACTGGAGGTTCCCTCTCAGCCACTCTATTTGCTACTGATTCCCAAGGATAAAATCATGCCTCCTAGATCTCTTACCTCACCAGCAGACACACTCCCTCATGGTGAGTCTTGGGGTTTTCAAGCAGACTCTGTGTTCTCTGCTCCCTGAGCGCTCTCACCAGTCTCTCATTCCCAGCTTTGAAAAGCACAGCCTCTAATGCTTGGCTAGAAAGCCTGGGGAAAGAGAGGCACAGAACTGCAGCAATCAGTAGGAATGTGCAGCCTAAACAGAGCGAGGAAGCCCTGGTTACTTGTCAGGTCTGCTGTTCATCGACAGTTCATCCACTGGCAATATCCTGGACACCAGTGTCCCTGGAAGGACTTGATGCCGGGAGGTAAGTTTCAGTCTCATACATCTCATATGACTAGTTTTGCTAGGGACAAAATTTTGCAGTCATTTTTCCCTTTCTGCAAGGAGTATGGGCACTAGCAGAGTACAATGATATGGAAAAGATACATGATCAGGACCCAAACACTGGGGGCATAGAGTGTGGTGATCACTAATGGACATTTATGATGTGACAGAGAGCTGAGGGTTTGCACTTGAATCAGCACTCTGGTCACTATTAGTACTAATTTGGTTCCTCACAGAAGGCGTAATTGGACAGAGGTGTACCTGATTACGAGGTCAGATGGGGGCTAGTGAGTCAAGGAACCAATCATTCCATTAACAGGGAAACTGTGTAAAAGGACATGGGCAGGAGCTCTTTGAGGGGAACAGACAGAGAAAGAAACTTGGGTGACCAGATGTCCCGATATTTGGGGCTTTATCTTATATGGGTACCTGTTACCTCCCACCCCCGTCCTGATTTTTCACACTTGCTGTCTGGTCATGCTAGGAGAAACAGAAAGACAAAAAGCTAGGAGAGCCTGACAAAGTGAGGTCTCTGAGTGGAAACACCTTAGCCCCCACTTTTGGAGAAGAGTTTAGAAAGTTGAGATACAATACAAAGGTGCTATGTATTGGTAGGGGGATTAAATAGACTATATGTTGGTGCTTACAAGCAAGAAAGTCTCAACGCGGTCTGTGTTTGTGGAAGATGTGGGGGTGCAACACCCCTCTCTGTCACAGCTGGGGGCTCATCAGGGATTTCCCTGTTATCTATGCAAATGGAGAGCCTGTTGGAGAAGCCGGTGTAGAGGTTTTGGCAGTCCGGGTGATGGAGGGAACACTGAAATGGATGGTGAAGCAGCAAAGAGAAGTGTAGAACAGGGGTTCTCAACCTTTCTGTTTCTGAGCCTCCCCACACCCTCAACATGCTACAAATACTCCATGGCCCAGTTCCAGGCCACTGCCCTGCCAGGCATCAGAGTTTGGGGCTCCTGGCTCTGGTTTTTAACCTCATGGGGTGCAGAGGCTCGGGGCTTTAGTGCAGGTGCTGGGCCTCAGGGCTCCAGCGTGGCTGGGCTCAGAGCTTCAGCTTTCTGCCCTGAGCCCCAGCTAGTCTAATGCCAGCCCTGCTTAGCGGACTCCCTAAAACCGGCCTGGTTGAGAACTGCTGGTGTAGAAGACCCTATAGACCTTCCAACAATCCCACCATGCAGAAAAACAGCCTTTGCTTGCCTGGTAGGTTTAACAGCAAAAGAGCCTTCAGGAATTTATACAGGAGCAAGCCCAGGTCTGGCAACAACTCCTCCAAAGTTTGGCCAGTCCTGTGACAGGAAATGGAAACCAGGCACAGGAGATCAGACTCTGTAAAATGGGACCTGCGAACAACCCTGATGTGTTTTTGGTTACTCTTAAAGGAGCAGCAGTGAGACCTCATAGGGACAGAACAATGTAGGGCCTTCAACTGACACCCTATTTAACCGGGGAAGCACATATATGGGTCTTAGTGATTAGCAGGCAAGAGATTATGACATGATTAAGGCAGCCATGCTGGACTAGGTGGGGCCTGTCCACAGAAAAGTACTGCCAGAAATGGAGAGTTGAAAGATGGATTGAGGGATTATGCTTCTGTGCATTTGGACAGAAATTAAAAGATTGGGCCACTCATTGGTAAGGCCAGATACTCAAACTGTGGGGGAGATCATGGACTGCATGATTCTGGAAGTTTCTTCAGTCTCCCTGAGCATACCCGAGCATGGGTTATGTGGCGCCAGCCAGTTAATCTGGACCCCACAGTTAAAGTTACAGAGGAATTTGCAGAGGCGGACATTCCCAGAGTGAGTCAGTGGTTTAAGGGACTAGATTTGAGAAGGACCAGAGTGCCTCCAGCTGGGAAGGGCAGCAAGAAGAAGAGGGAGGCGCCTCAAGGAACTGTAGTGGGAGCTTGTCCTACAGTGTGCTACCGACATAGACGTGAAGGACATCTAAAAAGAGACTGTCCTAAAATGGACTGTGGGTTTGCACAGTTTTGTGGCTGGGATAAGACTCCCAGGCAGGGAAGAAAAAGGAAAGTACCTACCATATCGGTATGGGTAGGGAAGAGCCACCAAAGGGACTAATGGACACAGCTTCATCCTGTTTGTTAATCGGGCAGGAGTTAGTGAAACCCCACTGGATACTTCCCAGAGGTAGGATCAAAACTGAATATGTACATGGGGACAATAAATTCTGCCCAATGGCAGAGGTGACTCTGGAAATCAAGGCGAAGTTTAGGCAGAAACATGTAGGGGTAGTGGATGGATTGCCCCACTGCCTTCTACTGGGCATGGACTGGCATCCCTTTCTAACAGGGACACCAAGGCATGTATGGAGGCTCAGGAGGGTGGAAACAAAACCTGAAGGGCCAGGTAAAGAGAAAATATATGTAAAGGGGCTGGAGGAACCTAGACACGAAAGTACAAGCCACAGAGAAGGTGAGGATGCAGAAGTCCCCTGAGAGACAAGAGGGAGGAGAAAGAAAACAAAGGTCAAGAGTAAAGGTGACTTAAGATCATCCATTGGGGTCAAACAGTCATCAGAGCCCTTACCACCAGGATCTCAGGAGCAGGCATCCCGAGAACACTTTGGAGGGACTCAGCACAGTTTGTGTTCATGGAAGAGGCCGGGGCACAGCATACCACCCCTCACATATAGGTACCTAAAATAGGCCTGCACATGGGCCAACCGCATGAGCAGAACACTTGTGTCTGCAGCGCCAGCAATCACCTAGCTAGGTACCCATCCATGTGAACAAATTCAAGTTTTGTGGACAAAGCTTAGGCACCCATGTTTGAAAACCTGACTCACTGTGGCCACTACATAAGACCAGCCTTACTGGGTCAGTCCAATGGTCCATCTAGTCCAGTATACTGTCTTCCAACAGTGGTCAATGCCAGCTTCTTCAGAAGGAATGAACAGAACAGGGCAATCATGAAGTGATCCAATCCCTGTTGTCCAGTCTCAGTTTCTGGCGGTCAGGCCTAGGGACACCCAGAGCTTGGGGTTGTATCCCTGACCATCTTGCCATTAGCCATTGATGGACCTGTCCTCCATGAACTTATCTAATTCTTTTTTAACCCAGTTACACTTTTGGCCTTCACAACATCCCTTGGCAATGAGTTCCACAGGTTGACCGTGTGTTGTGTGAAGTAGTACTTATGTTTATTTTATAGCCACTGCCCATCCGTGAACAGAGTTTAGATCCTGGTTTCCTAGGAAAATTCAGAGACATTATAAAACCCTGAAGTCTGTAATTTGAGCACCTTGTTGGCACAGAATAAAGAAACACAACAATAATAGAAACTAATAATGTTGTGAGATTGGTGGGAAATGTACATTAATGGGTATCAGAGCTGAAGTCAACTGATGACTCAGGAATCTCTTAGTGTTAACTGGCGAGGGGCACAGAGTGGGTGCCGAGTGGTCTGGTATGTACATTCTAGTTCACTAAAAGATTGCCATATGAGTCTCAAATAAAAGCCCATGTCACCAATATCATTGTGAAACACATGTACAGATGCGGTGTAAAGAGTCATGTATATGCATTGAAAATTACATTCTTATGATCTGTGTCTAGGGACTAGTCACCAGGAAAGGTGGAAAAATGGTTTTCTTTCAGGGAAGAAATGTTTATCCATCTGTTTCTTTATCTATAAATTAAGCATGTAGGGTTCACATTCAGTTCAGAAGGACTGTGAGAACTTCAAAGAAAGAAAAGTAACAGGAAGTAGACAGGGGGTGGGGACCCAATTTTGGGGTACACATCAAAGGTGTGCTCTAGTATATTTAGGGGACAAAGAAGACACCCTGGCATCTTTCACTTAGGAAGTAGATGGACAGTGATATGGACAGCGGGGTTGCTATCAGGCGTGGTTGAGAACTTTGGGTGAGAAACATCTTTAAACAGGAGGTTAAGCTGTTGGTTAAGTTTAGTCTCTAAGAGCATGTTATGATTTCATTTTACATGTAACCATTTTTTGCTCGCATTCTTACTCACTATCACTGGAATCTCTGTTCTTTGATCATCTCTGTTCTTAAATATATCTTCAAATATATCTAAGTGCTGTGTGTTTTGCCGTATAGTATAAGTAATAAAGTATAGAGTCTAAAGTATAAGTAATAAACTGGTGTGTACTGTTCCATTGGGAACAGCAGGCCTGGTAATTCTGTGGGTGTTCAGTGGATAAAGGTCTGGACACTATATGGAACGGTCAGAAGACTCGGGGGTTGGTGTGTGCCTATCACTAACCTGTACAAAGAGACTGAGGTCTGAGGAGGCCTGGATGGCAGTGTTTGTTTTGCCAGAGCCTGGTCATTTCAGGGAACTGACCCACATCAGGCACAGACAAGACTTCCTCACTCTAAGGGCAGGCAATGGTAAGGTGCCTCGTAACCCTGGGAACTCCTGGGGAGTGTCACACAACTCTATTGGAATTCTCTTTGTTTCTCTCCCTTCCTTCTAATTACCGGCAAGGGTCGCCCTCAGTATGTTGTAGGTCTTCTCGGAATTCCCTCCGGCTGCTTATCCTGGGCAAAGGCATCTCTTGTCCTAGGGTTCGGCTGACCTGCTGCAGGAGAACAGGAAACAACTCTGGGAGCAGCTCCTGCACAGCTTTGTTCGACTCCAGTGCTGACACCACCTCAGAGATGGCACATGTTGCCTGAAAGGAGAGAATGGTAAAAACTGAGAGCTCTTCCCAACACCATCACAGCCTCTCTCCCCTTCTGAGATCTGCTGTACGAAATTCTCACTTCTGCCAGTAACTTGAATGACTGCGAGCAACTCGCTTAACTTGTGGCTTAGTTTCCCACATCTGTACAAATGTGGATGACCTACCAAGGCATGTTGTGGGTCCTAAGGAATATTTGCAAAGCACTGTGAGAAACCTGGTTCAAAGACTTGCTAATTGCCAGATGTTATTAAGTAAATCAGCCACGTACTCTAAAACTGCCGTATTTGTTCCACAGACAGCACAGCTGGACTGAGGGAAACAGTACATCAGAGGAGAAGTGCCCACACAGCAATATTATACCACACTTTTAGCTTTGCATCAGCAGGATTGTCACAGGGCAGAGGAAAGCCTGAAAGACATATCTGTCTTTACTTACTGAGAGAGGTTCAGCAGCTGCCAAATCCCTGTCGATTTCAGTCTCTGAGGTGATGCGGCCTTCTTGTCTTGTTGGAGTCTTTATCTTGTCTATCAGGATCTTTAGGACTTGAGTGGCAAGCAAGGGGTCTCCCCCCAGAGATCTCCACAGCTCAGTGATGTCACTGCAATTTAACAGAAGTTACATGTGACCCCTGGACACTTTTGTGGCTCAGACTGAATACGTCATATTTAAGTAAAGACCAAAGTTTCTCCTTGCCAATGATGAGAAAGTTAGGAGTACTGTCCTCCTTTAACGCTCCTCGTGTTTAAATATTGAGTTTCCAGTTACAGAACTAGGTTAAGTGACCTAGTCTTACTGCAGCCTCACCATTAATACTAGACTTCAGAAGGACAGGACACAGAGCGCCAACCTCAGTTCCTGCTTTCCCATTTTCCAGTAAATATGGAATCATGAACATGTGGCTACAAAGATCTAGGGTTTGGAAGGCAAGTTGATGAAGGAAAAGCCATATTCCTACTAACTGGTGTGATATAGCACGGCCAGAGGACAGCAGGAGAGTGATAGATGGGAGATATGTAAGCCCCAGGATGATGAGAGCCTTAGTCCCTGTAGAGGGAAGAGAGGCTGCTACAGATTAATTAGAGCACCTGAAACCAATTAAGCCAATTAGAGCACCTAAAGCCAGTCACCTGATAAACCCCCCCCTGCTTCAATCAGACAGTTGGAGGAGTTGAAGCAGAGTGGTTTGGTGTTGGAGCAGAGAGCAGTTTGGAGGAAGCAGTTTGGAGAAGTGCTGTGGCGGGCCAGAAGACCAAGACCCTAGGTAAAGGGAAACCCGGCTTGTGCAGAGCAGAGGGACTCTACAGACACAGGGGTTGGGAGAAACTTGGCCCAAGCGGAGAGAGGGCAGGAAGCCCCACAAGCTGAAGGTCCGGAGAGGGAAGTAGCCCAGGGGAAGGAATCGCTAGTTCAAGTGGTTCACTGCTATCCCTAGAGCCCCTGGGCTGGGACCTGGAGTAGAGGGTGGGCCCAGGTCCCTCCCTCTCCACTCCCCTTTTCTGGGACACTAATGGGACAGTTGATACCCCAGTTCAGGGGTGAGAAACGGTGCCCTGCACCCCCACAAGAGGAGAAAGTGCGGGACGCAACATAATAGTGCCGGCAATTTGCCACACTGGACATACAACTATGAGACCAAATATTCGTGGCCATCCTATGTCCCCTTCACAAAGGGTGTCCCTATCCTCTGTTGGCCAGAAGCTGGGACTGGGCAACAGGGGACGGATCACTTGACAATTACCTGTTCTGTTCATTCCCTCTGGAGCATGTGGCACTGGCCACTGTCGGAAGACAGAATACTGGGCTAGATGGACCTTTGGTCTGATCCAGTATGGCCGTTCTTATGGTCTTAGATTCCAGCACTGATAACTGATAACTCAGTTAGGGATCTTTAAATGAAATGATGGATCTGCTTCCAGTCCAGTTTTAAGTACCCAGGACAGCAACTCTATTCTAGCAGCCACACCCTGACTGATACCAAACAGAGGTCTGATGATAATATTGGCTCTATTCTTTGTAATCAGCCAGGGATTTGGACTTGAAGCTGTCATGCTACCAGGAAACCAACAGCCACTGCTAATATCCAGAGTGAGGTCAATTCAGGTGTCTAGAGAGGTAGATGTTTCCAACAATACACTCCAGTTATACCAGTAAAGATAGGTCTTTAGGATATCAAAGCAGCTATTAATTAATGGAAACAGAATGACACTTTAATTTCTCTCCGCACCCCACCTTAACATGCTCTTGGACCTTCCTGCAGAAAGACCCAGGCTATTAACCTTTAGGAATTATCCCAAACTGTCTGCTGCTTAAATAAAGCCCTACATCTCCCAGTAAAGCTGTGGGATCCATGTTTCACCAAGATGAACGCAATAGGTAGCGGTATATACCTGTTCATCGGCAGAGGTTCGCCGAGGAGGCTGGAGATCACTGTCTCTAGGTCATGGTGAGCTAAAATGGACACCGCCTCCACCAGGAACTGCCTCAAGCTGCCCTCCTGGATAGTAGGCATGTGGCTATATATTATAACCAGGATATCTGGCACCTGGAAGGAACAAAACCAGAAAGAAATGTCCCTTTTTCTTTCTCTCCATTCATTCTACAGAATCAAAACCTTTATTTAGCCATTTAGCCAGTTGCTGCTTTTTTAGAAATTCTTCACTTCAAGAAACAAATGTTCAAATATGTCTGCATAAATTTAACCCACAAAAATTGCCCACACTTGGCTGTAAAAACTAACACTGACACACACATATACATACCAGGTAATTTAATGTGGTGGTGCCCAGCTATGCATTAAATAAACCCGTTCGCATGCACAAAAGAAGGCTTTGCTTGCCCACATTTTGCAGGTGTGATTTAAGCAGCCAAATCTGACCATTTGCCTTGAAGAATGCGGAGTTCATAAACAACCACAAGCACAAAATATGCAAGTGCTTTAAACACAGTGTGCAAATACCTGGGACTATGAACAGGTGACGACCTCTCATATTCACTCCTAACCCTTCACATCTTCAAAACACTGTGCAAACATGGCAGTTCTGCTGCGAGGGTTCCCTGTCCTGAGACCTTTCACCAGCCTTGTTAGAAGATTTGTGGAGTGCTCCTTTCATCTAGCCCTAACGCACTGGGCTCCAGAATAAGGCATATAAATAGTGGATCCCAAAGACACTATAGTTTTCTCCCTCCCTCCCCCCTTCTATTCTTAAAGGGTATGTCTACACAGCAAAAAAAAATCCCACAGCAGTGTAAAAGTGTAGCTGTTCCTGGTTGGGCTGGAGCCCAGGCTCTGAAACCTGGCAAGAGGGTGGGTCTCAGAGCCCAGGCTCCAGATTGACTAGGAATGACCACAGTGCTATTTTTATCCAGGTAGCCCTTAGCCATAGGCCTCCTAAGAACTGGATGATTCCAAGTGCCAGTCATTCTGTCTTGTTGTATTTTCCCCAGAGTCTGTTTTTTCAAGCCTTTCTTGGCTGAATACTGTGGCAACAAGCTAGACAAATAAATAACCAACCATCTTCCTTTTCCCTTGGATTATCTCTGTCTACTGCGATTGATTCTGCCATTGCCTATCTTAGGGTAGGAACAGAGATGGAATCGACTCTATGTCCGAGGGGGAGAAACAGCAAGATTTTTGTTCATTACACATAAGGGGAAAGAGCTAAAAGCCTAGAGTTTAGGCAGAAAACCTCTCCAGTTTCCCGTTTTACCTTGTCCAGCATGGCATCTCCACACTCCTTCAGGATGATCTTCATCCACAGTCCAGCTGCCGTGGCACAGGTGGGACTGGCAGACAACATACCACCCAATGTGGCCTTAATAAAGTCTGTGGCCTGTTCTGAAGGAAAGTACTCACTAACAACCTGGGAACAAATCAAAAACAGGAGAGACTGCAATGATGTCTGGCTTTTTAAAAATGGAGGCCTAATATCTCTATGAAAAGATATATGCATCAACAAATTGTTAATTAGCCTCATGTCTAGCGAGCCATTTGTGATTACAATTCTCTCTACAGTCTATATACGACATTTTTGTATTCTACACTAATGATATCAGGTTAGAGGCAAAGCCTCTGTTGCACAGTTAGCACAACATTGTACTGGATACGCAGGAGGTAAGTTTCCAGTTTGTATTCTCTTCTATACACTGCATCTTTTTACAACTTATAAAATGAAGTAAAGAGAGGCATGCACACAAATATAGGCTAAGGCAAACCCACAAAGTGACAGAATGAAGACTGGGTGGTTTCTCAGCTTGATGTTCCACTAACACAGTTTTTTCTCATGAATGGCTGGATAGGTACATGTGTGCGCAGCTGCGTGCGTATTTTCATGTGCGTGCAACATTCTGTGGAATCCGGTTTTTACATGGCATTCATAGCACACATCTATGAAAAGCATCTTGCTGGTTACTAGCAATGAATGCCCCGCTCCCACAGCTCACTCCAAGTATGGAAAGGCATCATAAAAGCTTAAATGTGAAATGAATAGTGCCCCGTCACTAGAACATCCACACAAGCTTTTTGAGTCAGTTACCCTGGCCATTTTGGAAGATGCCTGAAACAGAGCCTCAGGGTCTGGAGCTGTTAGTGCTTCACGAAGACATCTCAGCTCCTCCGCCGCTGACCCCAGGTTCATGGACTGGCCTGGAGTGGAGAAAAGGAGAAAAAGTACTGTAACGATTCATGAAACTGAACCTCTATTGCATGGATATTCATACAGAAGGATCCATGTGCTATGCTGTTATCAGCATAGTGTAAAATCTTGGCCCCATCAAAGTCAATGGCAAAACTCCTGTTGACTGTAATGGAGTCGGGGTTACACCCTAAATGTCTGAAAGTTAACAGTAGTGGTATGTTATTGTGAATGATACAGGATTGAACAAGCACTGTATTCAGCTTGGAGCCGCTTTCTGGGTGTGTCTGGTTTCAGTAGCCTCTCTGCTCTCAGTATTTAAATCTAATCTCATATTCAAGTACAACTCATGCAGGTAGATCTCAGGTTCCAATGTAGAGGTGAATCCCTCCACCAAACTCTCATTGTAAAAGAGATGGGTCTGGACAAAAACTTCGGCAGGAAACCCAGGCTCATCAGTCACTTCTAAACAATGCTGGGATTTCTATCTTGTACATGCAAAGATTGGAGTCCCTTCTTCTGTTTCTGAATCACCAACACTGTTTTTAGGACTGATTAATAATAATTGGAAATAGGGTGACCAGATGTCCCGATTTTATAGGGATAGTCCCGATTTGGTGGGTCTTTTTCTTATATAGACTCCTATTACGCCCCACCCCCTGTCCCGAGTTTTCACATTTGCTGTTTGGTCACCCTAATTGGAAATGGCCTTAAACGATAACCAAGCTCTATCCCTTTACATCTAACCATTAGGTGAAAAGAATATCCTACTCTTTCACAGAGGGGAAAATGGCCTACACTTACTCCAGTAGCTTTGAATGCTCATGACAGAGGGCTGCTGGAAGAACTTTCTGTTTAAAGAATTATTCCAGGAAACCCCTCCAATACAGCCAGTGGCAGGGTAAAGAGAATGAAAATGTTTAGTACCAAGGGCTTGTCTACATGGAGATAGTCAAGAAAGCTAATCCAAATTAATTTTCAAAATGCATTAGTTAAACTTCATTAAACACCTATGGGGACACACTTATTTAGAATTAAAGGGGCCTTATTTCAGGCTAGTTTCATTCATGTAATTCACTAAAATTAATAAGGGCCATTTTAATTCAGAATCAGAGCATCCACACATGTGTTTAATGCCACTTTAAATTTACACCGTTAGTTCATTTGGATTAACTTTCCTTAGTGTCCCTGTGTAGAGAAGCCCTAAGGAATTTAGCAGTTATCTACCTGTATGCAGACCATTTATTATTTGTACAGTTTCCAAAAGTGTGCTAGGCTCTTTACACAGCATAATCTTCTCTTCTAATCAGGTATTTACAAGATGCCACCATTCTGTTATCTAAGTGCTAACAGACAGGACAGAAAGAACTAGACAGGCAGAAAAATGGACATTACAACAGTGAAAGAAGGTGAAGAGTTACTTATACCTGCTAATGGTGAAGAATTACTTATACCTGCTAATGGTCTCCTCACCTTGTATACAGAGGAGGCAGCTGATACAGTCAACCACCCACTGACGGGACGTGGCCAGTGAATCACAGCTGTATGGTGCTATTAGTCCAATCAGAGATCCAAACCGATTAAAACTTTCCTGAGTCTAATTACAAAAGAATGAAGAATGAACGTTCTCCAGCTGTACTAGCCTTCACTTGCCATCCTTATTGTTGATACCAGTCAGCTCTGTGTTTTTGGGGAACCAGGGCGCAGTATCTAGCCTGTGTGACTCATGAAGGACACCCCTCACCCCGTCTCTGTTTGAACCAAAACCGATCAGAGAAAAGGCTTGCAGAGAACAATGAAGGGCATGGGGAGACACACCTAGACCCCCCCTGACAAGGGTGACAAGATTAAGACGTCTCCATTTTTGCATACAGAATGTAGAACAGAGACAACTGCCCTAGCCTCATCTGCATGAAAGATGGGATAGGAATTTGCATAAAGAATGAGGAACGGGGAAC